GAAAACAAATAATGAAAGCCTAATTATACTAGAAAATAAATAAATCATTTTTCTAATTAATTAGGAAATAAATTTAAATCTTTTAAAAATTCCCAAATTGAACGACATTGTACATGTTCAAAAAAATTGCCAAAAATATCAGCATGTATGCTGCATCATTCTCCCGGGTTGGGAATAATTCGTCATCAAATTCAATATTTGAGTCTTCACTTGAATTTGGGCATCCAGCCAACCCATCAAATTTGAATTGAGTCCTTTAATGTTTGTTTCAATTTAGGCGTTCAAGTTTCAACCAACTCAAAGTGTATACCCATCAAATGAGTGTCCATGACTGAGAAGTTCAATCATAGGTGATCTTCGGAAACATTCACAAGGACAAATTCATAATGTTTGAGAAACTTTTCATCCATCTGTTTACTGATTATGCTGGTGGGTCTCACCATGAACTTGTATGCCATGTTGTTTGCTGTTTCAAAACTGATAAATGGCCAAACTGAGCCTCCACCTTGGTCGATTGATTGGAAGGAAAAGTCTGATTCTTCTTACAACCTTGTCATTGGGAATACTTAAAAGGAAAACTCTAACTCTTGCTCATCAAACGACCATTTAAATGTCTCGTCGCAATGTAAAGCATATGCGGTTGATGCAACAAGGACAGTGTTGTTTCATTAGTTTGGAACATCATGAACATCAATGATGCTATTTATCTGACCAGTACCATCAAAGCATACACTGAGAAATTATGATCTGCATCCTCTTTACCTGCTTTATCTGGCGTGGAGCTTGGCAAATATTTATCTTTTGGGAATCTGATGTATATCAAAACCTCAAAACCATCTAGGGTACTTACTAAAATGACATCCTCTGGATATTCATCGAATTTATTAACTTATAGTTACATGATAGATGAATCACTAGAAAAAGATACCTCTTAAAAGTTCATGTCAAGAACATTAATTTCTTCAGAGATAATTGAGGGTCATTGCAACATCAACTTTATGGTTGTTATAATTTCACCTTGGTGTTCCATCAATGTGTATTGTTGATTTCTGATACACCATAGGAAACTCAGTAGGATCAATTTTGTGTCAAGATGTGGAAGTAATTCAAGAACCCCGCTTGATGCTCGGTACCTTATCATGCACTAAACGGGACATGATTCAGTTGACATGTTGATAGTCAACCATCAATCGGATGCTTGTGTTAGTTGGATTGGATTACATCACCATATACATGCACTTTGTCAACAGATACATAGTTCTCCCAACAGATATATGGTTCTCCCAAGTGTCATTTTGCATATTTGCAGGAAAGACTGAAAGCTCTGATACCAACTAATGTGGGGAGTATGGCTCGACGAACCGTAGTAGCATAGAAAAGCCTTACTAATGTTGCATGGGAAAACCCTAGAAATGTTATTTATCCTCGATAATACCATGCTAAAGTCCTTCAAAAGGCTTTGTTGATTCAAGAGAATGCCAAAGCAATTGGGTAGAAGAGAAAACCACTTTCTATAAAAATATTATTCAAAACATCAACACACTTTGCTATTTATAATAGTAGAAACTTAATCAAACTATGAAACTAGAATGCTAATGGAATTTAGAAAGAATGCAAAAAATAAAATCCTAATTAAACTAGAAAATAAAATAAAGCAATTTCCTAACTAAATTAGGAAATAAATAAAATCTTTTAAAAATTCCCTAATTGAACAACACTGACCGCTTTCAAACAAATGCCCAAAAATCTTGTGATGTATTTTTGCATCAAATCTAGTCTTCTCTATGAGCATTAAGCTTCAAATAAGGAGGATTTGAAGTTCATTAGATCAAGAGTATGGGTGTTGGTCATTTTTACTCTTACCCCACGTCAATTGTACTAACCCTAGCATTGTCACTTAAATTTGAATCAAGTACCACTCAAGCAGCCATTGTAGGAATAATATGCCTCATCGGAATCCAAGGAGCATACCACAATTTTTTTTGCCTGTTGCGAACAACATGCTTGTTTTATAACTGGTATGCATTTTGAGGTATTTTCACATTCCAAAATTTCCCCGCTAATGCAAATTCAAGATATTGTTTCTATTCTGCCCCGAACCCAATCGCCTTAGATTCGGTGGTGTTCTAAGGGGTGTGTGTTAGAATGGGATGTACTGAGTAGCGCCAGACACACAGTCGAGAGGAACCAAGTACAAAACCACGAGTGATTTGAAATATTAAATCGTTGGGTTTTATATGATTTCATGATGGGATTTGTGTTAAATACTCATTTTATTTGCTATTTCTGCAGTTGATTGTTGGGTTATTGTCACCACCCAACCCGGTAGGGTTCTTTTGCTCTTCTCAAGGATGGGGTGGATCAATTATCCGTTTTCTTACGCTTGTCATAAAGTAGTAGATAGTAAGGCTGTTAAATCGCACCTTGCTCAAGGATAACTAACACTCACTTTTATACATACCCTTACAGAAAAACTCTATATAATTTACGCATCACATTAACAAAATCTCTTTCTCCTTATAGGAGATCATTAGTACTGGAAACCTAGTGTTCCTAAGTAACCTTGTCTACATTGCATCATTCTTTCACACGATTCTAGACTGTACAATGGATCAACTAGCATCGCGAACACCTGTACCCCAAAATCAACTGTGGGAGGTGTAAGCTTTCAACATGCTTAGTGAGCATACTAGCATCATATAATAAGGGAACATTAAAGCAAGTATGGATCATGCTTTGAGCAATAAACAGTCCCCACCTCACCTTTGATAAATATTTGATAACGAAGCATAGGAGATAAGTTGCTATTAAAATATACTTTTTTGTCAAAGTGCACCGCCGTGTTGCAAAATATAATTAAACTCCACCCATTTCATTCAGAGCCAATGATCTTTTTCCCTACGACTAGGTTTAGATGGTATCGTAACCTCACATCTCAATTCAATCCATTGATATCGAACGAGTGGAGGGTCTTTCATTATCCTCCCAATGGTAGGGGTACACCAGCCAACCTCCCAATTTTACTTAGAAAGACAAGTGATCACCTTACCAAATTTAGTATAACAGGCTGATGTGAATGATAAAACCTCACCATTTGAAGCAACCCCCTTTTTGAAAATAATCACGATCCACACCACAATTCACCATTTTTCAAACAACATTTAAGGAAATCCACCAACTAGCAACAATTATACTCATAAACTATATATATACTAGTAATTTAGTTTTCAAATTATATAACATAGTATACTCACCTTCAACACTCTACACCAACTCACTTCTTTGCACTAGGTTTATTACTAGCGATGCAATTGATGCAGTCCTCTATGCACCTAAGACAACATATCCCATGACGCTAGTAAATATCACCTTCAAACATAATGAGTTAGATGCGCGTATGCATGTTTTGATCCTTATATTCAATCTTTTTAAACATTAGTCAATTAATTCCACTACCTAGAGCTTTTTAATCTAATTAAAAGAAACATTATTAACTAGCTATGCTTCTACACCTTACCCAAACAAACTAGGACCAGATTAAGTCAATAAAGCATGTTTAACTAATATGAATTATTATAACACTTCACTACTAAAACTAACAAGAAAACCCACCTCCCTCCTTTCTTGCCTTCTTCTTGCTTGTTGTTTTATTTTTGTTAATTCCCTCACCCTAACTGTAAATATTTCCCTCCAATAGCTGGTCCTTCACCATGCAAATGAACTATATATAGACAACTCTCACACTTGCCACCTAGCTAGTCTCCTAGGACACCAAACACTCTTGCACACTTGACACCAAGCTAGGTGGACACCAAGCACCCTTGCATGCTTGACACGTGATGAGACATCAAGCACCCTTGCTTGCTTGACACCTAATGAGACACTGCACACCCTTCCCCTCTCGACGCCTAACCACGACAATGATTCATCATTTTAGGACACCTAGCATACTTCTCGTCTTGACTCCTAACTAGAACAAGGACTTTTAAATATATTGTATAACTAGATTATTATAATATAATTGTAGGATTTTTTTTTTTTTTTTTGTAGTGGAGTGGCTTCCAAGTATAACAAGTAGGAGGTTTAACAAGTAGCTCTATCTATTCCTCCCTCTGATAACACCTAAATTAATTCTCACTCCCAAAACTTTAAATAATAAATTGCATACAAACCCCATAACATTTAAATGCATCTCCCTTACATGCTTTGGGTTTCACAGTTATCATTTGGCCTTGTGACTCAGTATATTGTGTTGTAAATTACTTATTGGGCCTCTCAAGCTCACCCCCATTTATCCATTTTGGATGTAGGTCTCCCTCTTCTTCTTCTTCTTCTTATTCTTCGTGTAGTAACCCAACGTCTCTCTCTCTCTCTTTCTCTCTCTCTCAATAGATAAAACTCTTAAGAAGAGTCAAAAGACTCCTCCGTGTATGAATGTCTATGAGGCTCAAGTCCTTTTACTTTATTTTTGGGTATTTTTTGTGTCTTTTGGCTAACTAAATTCTTTAACACTTATGACAGAAAAACAGTCTTTAAAATTTTATTTCATAGTAACACTCTAATATATGTAGCTGAAAAGTTAAACTTGATTTATTTATAAAAGCATTGTGTTATTACTTTTTGCATTTTTTTAATTTCCAATTGCACATGAAAATTCATTTCCACTATGTTTAATGTGCTAAATGATTTATTTTGGTCATATGATGCATGAGTTTTTTTGAGCTCCTTGATTTTTAGCTCAAGGAGACTGATCCATTGGTTATAGATCCTTTAGTTGAATTTTTGTTTTGAGCCCCTCCTTATCTAGTTGGTTGTGTGCAAGGTGCTGGGAGGGATAACTGTTGGACAAAGACTTAGCTTTGGCTTGATGTCTGATTCTTAACTTGAATACATTGGATGGGCCTATCATTTTAAGCATGCCCAAGCAATGGCCCTAGAGCCAAAGAAAAAAAAATGTCCCAATAAAATAAAGCTTTCCATATTGAAAGAGCCACTTGCCAATGAGCGAGATGATGACCAGCGACCCCTTGTACTCTTCTAGCATGTATAATGTAGGATGTCCTTATGAAGCTTAGTATCACTCTGCCTACAATGTGTTATGGTGGGGTCTTGGTTTGCAATACTTCTATTTTTAGGATTTCACTTGGTAGGAGAAGGATTGCTTGATTTGTGGATGGAAAAAGGTTTGCTAGAACTAATGTTATAAAAATGGTACATAGCTGGAGATACAGAAAGAATGTTGGAACTTTGTGAAAACAAAGTTTCTAATGGTTTCTAGTATTGAATCAAAGTGAAAGGGCAGAATGCTGCCGACAACTGGTGTTACTGTTATTAGGATTTCACAAAAGTAGGACCATAGAAGGAGGATTGTATGTCTTGTGGATAGAAAGAGGTTATAAATTATAATCAACTTAATAGAAAGGTCATACCCAGTGCACAAGGCTAATGAGTGCAGCCTGGCCTGGGAGAAGTTAGAATCAACTTGGTTATAAAAACGGTAGGTCACAGGAGATTCAGAAAGTGTATTGGAATCTTCTAAAAAGGAAGTTTTGATGTTTTCTAGCATTAGAGCCAACTGCGATGAGTTTTAATGTGATATTAGGGACTGTTTATGCTGTGAATAGCAAGTGTTGCACATAACCAAGAAGACGAGGAGGAGAAGGAAAGGAAAAATCCCACATTCCCATTGGATTAGGCTGCATTACATGTACAAACTTTAGAATTCTCTTAGCTCATACTTGGATCAAAAACCAGAAAATAATTCTGTTTTACTGTTCTGCTTGTTTTACTGCCACATCCCGTACCAAGCACAAGTTATCACACCAGATCTTTGCATGCATGTAGTGTGAGCTTCCATATTCTGGGACTTCATTTAAACTCTCATAATCTCATTGAGATCAGTTTGTTCTTTAATATCATTTTTAACTGTCTCGTTCCCTTCTTTGATTGATTTGGCAGTAGTGGTTGTAATTTGATCTATTGACATTTGTCTTTATATCTGTTATGCAGCAAGTCATCGGTTCTTCTCGGATTGTCTTTGACAGTCCCTCTCATGGTGGCATGCCTATCTGTTGCCATTCCTATATGGATTCGTAATGGCTACCAGTTCTGGATTTCAAGAACTGATTGCGCAGGTCAAGCCGGAAATCATCAAACTTTGGGGATGAAGGAGGTTTGTTCTTCTGTCTCTCTGTTTCTTATCGTTGATCTTTCTGATGCAATGTAATTCACAGAAGTGCTTCAACTCTTGTGACATGTTCATGATACCCTAATACATATCCATGTCCGCCCATTGAAACAAGGGTACACTCCTACACTATGTAGGAAACTAAGGATGAAATATAAAAAATAACAAAAAAAGTGATGAAAGTGATGCGCAGTTTTAACTGTACAAAGCCCCTTTAATCTCATCGTATTAATGTTCTTAGTCTAGTATACAACATATAAAATACCTAGAGAGAATGAGAGAAATGAAGACTTTATGAACAAAACACCATTAAACTTAGAAGATGTGGAAGATCTAAGGCAATATTTAAAACAAATACATATTTTAATAGGTGGTACTCAGGTAGTTGTTTGGGGTAAAATTATATGTGGCTTTCATTTAATGCAACTCCAATGTTGGAGAATGGTTGAGTGTGGATGTAAACAGAGCTGTCTTGGGATTCATGTTTGTAACTTCTATAGTTTGCTCTTTAGTGTGGTCTTCAATGGAGCTTAATTTGACATCAATGTTTACAATTTTCTCTGATTTTGTTTCTGTTGTGAAGGTTGTTTGTAGCAGATAACTTGTAACATTTTTCCATTTTGCTTTACATCGGCTCATCTTCATATTCACTGTGATAGGTCATAATGGAAGTTCTTTATTTTTAGAGGGCTGAAATTGTGCTTCTGTTATCTGAATTTTGAGCTTTCACCCCTTATTATGTTGAACACTATGTACAAGGAAAAATCAGTTCCTGCTAGGCTTTTCCCCACTTTCTCCTGGTTATCATCATTTAGCTAAGCACTGAAAAATGCAACTTTTCAACTTATCCCCCACCCAGAAAAAGCCACCACCACCCACGAACGAAAATGCAAATTCTCTCCATCACTTTGTTTACTGTGATAAGAGTTCATATTCTGCTAGTGCAACCATAGTTGGTTTATGTAGTTGAGGGGTCTCTCCTCTCATTGATAATTGGGATTGAGTTGGACGCCTCTAATGTGGTATGAAAGCTAAGCTTGGGTGATCAATGGGTGAAGTTTCTCACCATCTATTTCGGTAAGAGAGGGTATGACGAGAACTTGTGTTTCACATTGTAAAATTTGGTACGCCAAGGTTAGTTTATATGGTTTAGTGGCCTCTCTACCCATTGCCAACTAGTTTTTGGTTTGATGCCTATAACATTTACATGTGGTGGGTTTTATATTTAGGAGTGTAAGCTTATGTTTTCATCTGCTGTTGGGTGGGAAGTTTGGTGCCTGGTGCGTTCAGAAGGGATTAGAACCTTCTAAGAATGTTTTTAAAGTTAAATTAAGTTTGTAGGGCACTTTCTGATTGCTTTGCTACAAACCATTGTCAGGGTGTTGTTCTTTTCATATGCATATCTGTATTTGCTGGATCTGTATTAGCTCTCGGTGCTATAGTATCCGCAAAACCATTGGAGGATTTACAGTACAAAGGATGGACTAGGGACCAGAACAGTGTTACATCTCCTTATGCATCATCTGTGTACCTTGGCTGGGCACTGGCTTCTGCTATTGCTTTAATTGTTACTGGTGTGCTACCGATGGTATCCTGGTTCGCAACATATCGATTCTCTCTTTCTTCTGCTATATGCGCTGGAATATTTGCAGGTAAGTTTTGAATAAATTTAGGCCTTGACTTCTCCCTATGTAAGCTTCTCTCAGCTTTACTGTACAGGGGAGTCGCTCTTTTCCCTTTTCTTTTTCTTTTTCTTTTTCTTTTTGTACATCAGTTTAAGCTTTGTTTAAACAACTGTCTTCTGTGCTGTTCCTGTTATTCTAGTTATCCTTGTGGCATTTTGTGGTGCATCCTATCTGGAGGTTGTGAATTCGAGGGACGACGAGGTTCCTACAAAGACTGATTTCCTTGTTGCTTTACTTCCTCTGGTGTGCATTCCAGCACTGTTATCACTTTGTTGTGGTTTGTTTAAGTGGTAAGTGCTCTTGCATGCTTCGAGCAATTGCTCCTCTCAGCTGGAATCTGGGAATTGGCTTTTTCTTTAGTAATTATTTGCAGAAAGCATATTTCATGGACATATTAGTTTTATGATATATGCAATGAAAATATTTGCAGGAAAGATGATGATTGGAAACTTTCTCGAGGTGTTTATGTCTGCATCATCATTGGTCTTCTTCTTCTGCTTGGTGCAATATCAGCTGTTATAATTCTTGTTACACCGTGGACGGTGAGTGAGAATTACTCCTTGTGTCCTTGATTTACGTTCGCTTTTATCTTTAAAACATGTCTGACATGGTTTCTCTTTGGTTATTGCAACAGATAGGGGCAGCATTCCTTTTAGCTCTTCTTCTCCTTGTTCTAGCTATTGGTGTTGTCCACTACTGGGCTTCAAACAATTTTTATTTGACCAGGGCACAGATGTTACTTGTTTGTTTCCTTGCTTTTCTTTTGGCTTTGGCAGCATTTCTCATGGGGTGGTTCCAAGGTGAAAGGAATCTTTCTGTTTTTACTCTGTACTTTTCATCCAATCATGTGAGCCATATCATAGATTCCTTGTTGCGACAGCAAATCCATGACATTTTGTTAGCATTGTTCGATTTTTTTTGGATATGATAGATGGTGGTTGTGCTGATAGATTTATACCTTCAAAAAGTAGGCTGGTTGTGAAAGAAGATCCAAATTGGATCTGGATTTGATTTTCTAACATGATATAACACTGTAAGCACACAATTCTACTGAGGTGGGAGGGACATTATGTGTCCAGAATAGTTGGAATGGTGCTATCCTATTACATGCATACAGCGGGATAGCAGAACCTATATATATGTTCAATGCAACTGTAATATCCCTTTTTAAAGTGTCTTCTGGCTTGGCAACTGACATTGTTGGTTTGGTGTGTTCAGATAAACCTTTCGTCGGAGCCTCTGTTGGTTACTTTTCATTTCTCTTTCTTCTGGCCGGAAGGGCATTGACTGTGAGTTATATTTGCCTATCATTGATGTAGTTGTGACACTTGTTATTCATATTTGATTCTTTCTTCTGGGTACTAAAGCTGCTCTATCTTTGGTTCTGGATGTTCTGACTTTAAGCAACCAATAATGCTCCCTTCTTGCAGGTTCTGCTTTCACCTCCTGTTGTCGTTTATTCTCCAAGGGTACTGCCTGTATATGTTTATGATGCTCATGCAGATTGTGGAAAGAATGTCAGGTTTGTTGGAAACATTATCTAGTTTAACATAATTCATTTGTCATGAATATCAAGCTCATCGCTCATTATTCTGTTCCACCAGTCTTGCGGTCAGCAGTTCTACATAAACAGCGTAGTGTTCATTAAAACTGCATAGCTTGATTAATTCTTCACATCTGATGTATATGAATGAATTTGTCCACAGTGCTGCATTCCTTGTGCTTTATGGGGTTGCATTGGCAACTGAGGGCTGGGGTGTCGTTGCTAGTTTGAAAATTTATCCCCCATTTGCTGGTGCTGCTGTATCAGCAGTAACACTTGTTGTAGCTTTTGGGTTTGCTGTCTCTCGTCCGTGCTTGACTCTTAAGGTTTGTCCAGCTATTGACAAACAGATTTTATTTATGGAAGCAATTATTTGGAGATTTTTGTTCTGTTCTTGAGCAGAACAGTGGCTCAGCTTGGAATTGTCCTTAACACTTTGCATTCCTATTTACTTGTAAACACTTTCATAACCAGATGGTGGAAGACGCAGTTCACTTTCTTAGCAAGGAAACTGTTGTGCAGGCAATTGCTCGTTCTGCCACTAAGGTGTGTTTGGTGTTGTTACAAATTGGCGTTTAACCACTTTTCTTCTGTTTTTATTCTTGTATCTTCAAATATGTACAGTTGGCCCTTTACAGGGAACAAAATTTATTAGTTAAGATTGATGGACTTCCTCTGCTGAAAAATATTATATCAAATGCAATCCTACTGAAGTTACTAAAGTGCTTTAATCGTGATTACTTATGATTTGATGGTCCTAGTAATTTTTAGATAGTTCATACATGTATCACTTGTAGAATACTATTTCAAAAGTTGATCTATTATTGATTTGTATAATTATAAATTGTCTACCATACCTGAAGTCGGTTCCTCAAGTAACTATTTATTGATTCAGATTAATAAGGTATGATATACCTATTGGAGAGATGATTGCATGGCTGTATCCTATATTTGAGTTGACACTTTCAACTTTATATGCCGTCCGATCATATTAGAGTCTTAGACGTATTAGTGTAAATATTTTTACTGTCAACTTGACTGACTGTGGCCCAACTGGGTTAAGTTTGTTTCTCCTGTTCATTCAATACCATTCATAGTTTGCTTGCATACAGATCTTACTATATACTTGGTGTATGCAAAGTTGCACATGGTTATTCATGTATAGAGACATGTACAAGCAAGATCATTGTTCTTTGCTGGTGTTCTAGTGATCAAGTGACACAAAGTGAATCTGAAGCATTGTTATATTACTTCGTTCTTTTAGCTGAAATGATAAGGTGAAATAAGTATGGATGGGTCATTTTTGAAATTAAAAATGCTGGGTAGATTCCATAAAATCTTGAGGTGAAAGACAAACAACATCCCACCTGTATGACACATTTGATCATTGTCGTTAAGTTGCATGGGATCTTACTGTCCAATCTGCTTATCGTGACAATCTTTTAAGTTATCCACTTCCCCACAACTTACCCTTCTGAGTATCCAAGCAGTGTAACAGTGTGTAAGTTAGAACCTCCATATGTATTTCCTTTGTGTGGAACAAATATCAGTTAATTCTGCTTTCTTCGTAGAGAGGTTGGTTTCATATGAAATACCTTGTGGAAATTTGTTTTGTAGATTGTAAGGAATTTAAAATTTCATTAGTTATTATGTAGCAAAAAACATATGTATATTTTCTTATTAATTCTTGAATAATTGCTTAAGAAAACTCATGAATCTACTCTTGTATATGTGCTGCTTGAAAGCTGAGCGTATGTGTTGATCATTTCTCATGTTGGTTTTTTTTTATGAGGAGGGAAGGGGGTCAAGGATCAAACTTTCTTTCCATCGAAATGTGCTAGTGTGATTGAATATCAAAATTCTTATATTCCAAGTGTTTTTGGATGTTTTCAGTATCCATTTACTTTCTGAAACATTTCCATTTCAAAGTTGACCAAAATAGTGTACTAAATCGAAATTTTGATCACCACCCCCACTACCTGGGACTTGCATTTTGATTATGGTGTATTAATCTATGATGTTCACATTCCATATATATCTCAACATACCTGTCTGTGTTATGAATTTTTAATACTCCAAACTTGGTTTTTATTTATAAAAATTTTAGGTTTTTTTTTTTTTTTTGGGAGGGGGGGGGGGCAACTGACTTGTTTTTTATTAATCTATGATTTTCACCTGCCATACAATATATCTCAACATACTCGACTGTGTTGCAGATTTTTAATACTCCAAACTTGGTTTTCGTTTATAAAGCTTTAGCAGAGGCGTATGAAACCAAACTAGATGAGTTGTATCAAGGAAGAGATTATTGTAAACAGAAGGCTAATTTTCAATTACTTTGATTCAGAAACCTTTCACGAATATAACTGACTAGTCAATTATTATTATGTAGGAATAGTCAACATTGGACAAGTGAGGAATAGCTCTGGTCTTATAACAGAATCTGTCTTTTAATATTTCTTTTTTACATATTCCCTTTATGAAGGGTTGTGGTTTTAATTTGCCCAACGCATTTGGCCTTTTTAAGTGCTGCTTTAGTATGTCTGGTTATATATCCTTTTTTTTCATGTATTTCATTTTTTGGGGAAATTTCACTTCCTCCATTACTATGGTTGCCCTTTTTCACTTCCCCTCCTCATGATTCAATATTGCAGAACTCATGATTTTGGAACCATGTGCACTGTTAGCTCTATTAATGGTGCTAACAAAATCTCCATAATAGCCCCATATATATGTACTCGACAGAATAGAATAGAAGAATTATATCCTCCATAACCACCTCTACTTCCAATCTCCATTCATGGCCAGCGACCACCCATGTCCTTCACTGAGCACCTGAGAAACACGAATACGGAACACGGATACAACACGATAAAGAGACGTCAACACAACATTTATTTAAGAATTGGGAAACGACATGCTGGGCACATTCAATGAATTATTTATTTGTCTATAACAATAAGTTTTTGAATTTTGCCTAATATATATTTTGTATAACCATGATTCCACAAACTTGCCACAGAAGAACCCACCTTCATAGGAGGGTGCTCCAGTGTGTGTATTTCAACGACACTTTATAGAGAAAGTCTTCAACCTGCTATGTTTGACCCAATTGCCATATAGCAGACCCATCAGCGTCGGCTGGCTGTTCCCTTTAGTAGATCTCATCAATTCCCAGTGGTATTTTTTACATGAGTGGCGGCTTACCAATTTGGCCTGACATATGTTTTCCACAAACTTTTTTTTGTCCTTTTTCATTTTTTCTCTCTGTGTGTAGTCTGATTTGCTCCCGTCTCTCTCTCACAATTGAATTTGAACAAGATTAGACAACAAGACCATGAGAGGTTGTACAATAATCTTGACAACAAAAAGCGAAGGGGCCCAGAATTTAATGGTTTGAAGCTTTGTCTTTTTGGTCATGAAAATGAGAAGAGCAGTGTGCAGTGTGATTGATTATACAATTCCCTCTGGTTCTTTGTATTTCTACCATCTCTGGTCTTGTTCGTAACCTTCAAACGAGATGATGCTGGCTCTGGAGTACAATCCTGGCTAGTTTCCTGCTTATAAGGACCTGGAATCAACTAGGGAAAAATTTAAGGGATGTAAAAATGTGTTTCAGCTCAAGTTTTTCACATGTAGTAGAGATCCAGTTTAGGACAGGCTCAGAGTTTCTATCCTTGATGATTTCAAGTATTTGATGCATCTCCATAACTTGTGATTTTACTGAGATGGCCTCTGGTCCCTAGCATCATACCTGTATGCCTCTTATAGAGATCGATACAAAAATCTGTATCAACCTCTATCTTTACTTATCTACATACACACATATTAATTTGGAGGGAGTGAGTGCTTGGAGAAACACCCATTTGACACTCTTTTTTCTTGTATGGTTATTTTCAGCCACTTTACCATCAGACTAGACGCAGGACCCAATAGTCTTCTCATGCCAGTTTACCTAGTAACTGAGCGTCTTGTACTGATAATTAACGTACACAATAGCCCACTATTGGACATTGGTCCAAAACCATGTCAGGCATATATGGTTATATTGACTTAGAGGAGGTGAAGGGCAAAAGGGTATACCACTGAGGTAAAATCGAATTTCTCCTTCACTTTTTATACTCAAACTCTCCTTTTTCATCGTGGGGGCAATATTTTGCTTATATTCAAGAAATTCTAGGCTTAATAATAGTTAAGTTGAAGAAGGGATACCAAAATGTCAAGTTCCCCAGGCTTTCCAAGCATCAAGTTTGACGATGGCAAAAGGGGTGGGTTCTCAACCTAGATTGCCGAAATTCTATATCCTAAATTCAAGGATTAAAATTTCATTTCGGTCACCTAGAAAACGGAAACGTTTTGACGTGTTTCGACCCGTTTCGGAAACATAATGAAAAAATAAAAAATTTAAGAATTATTTTTTAAAAATATTGATTGAAATATATTAAAATATATTGAAATATTTTGAAATATTCCGAAATAATTGTTCAAATGCATTGAAATATTTTAAAACATCTCGAAATATTATGAAATACCTCAAAATATTAAAATTTCGATTCCATTAATGTTTCGTTTCGGTCTCCTTGGAAACGGAAACGTTTCAGACGTTTCGACCATTTTGAAACGATATTTAGATCCTTGCCTAAATTGTAACCCTAACCCTAAATCTACCCACGATTGAGATACCCCAAATTTTAACACTAACTCGGAATTGTAAGCCTAGCTGGGTGATATTTAAACTTATATTTTTGATATTTTGTAATTTTAATCTTTTCGTAATACAAATAGGCAACCATTAATTTTTATTATTTACAATCATTAGCTTTTATGTCTATCCCCAATGCAAGATGTGGCAGAGAAGAAGGTATCATACAGCCCACAAATTGACCCACTATCCATGTATCATTAGGCTGAAGTCTTAGGTGGTCACAGTGCAGATTGGGTTTGTTTTAGAGGATTACTACTAGCAAGCTATGTGTTCTCGTGCCCTTAAATTGGCAATCTTTTGTAGCTGCAAACATTTTTCAGGAAGAATAGTTGGACACTTTGTCTTGTTTTCTAATGGATGACAGTGCCATTTAAAAAGTGTAAGATATTCTTTCTATTGTTGATTCTTCTCGCTTCTGCTACTCCAATATTTCTAATATTTTATGGAAGTGATTTCCTGCTTTGATTGGCTAGTTAGTTTTTAGAGATAAGTTTCCTTCAATTCTTGTGCAGACCAGAAATGCTCTATCTGGAACGTACTCCGCTCCACAGAGATCTGCCAGTTCAGCTGCCCTGTTGGTTGGTGACCCTACTGTTATGCGTGACAGGGCTGGAAATTTTGTGCTCCCTAGAGCAGATGTCATGAAGTTAAGAGATCGTCTAAGAAATGAAGAACTAGCTGCGGGGTCATTCTTTAGCAGAATAAGAAATGGAAGGGCATTGCGGCACGAATCAACAAGTGATGTAGGTCGTAGAAGAGAAATGTGTGCACATGCAAGGATTTTGGCTTTGGAAGAGGCAATTGATACTGAATGGGTTTACATGTGGGATAAGTTTGGTGGTTACTACTTCTTTTGCTTGGTTTGACTGCAAGAGCAGAGCGTGTGCAGGTGAATATGGACCTACTGCTTTCTACTCATGTGAAATATGTTTTGATTGTTAACAATTTCTGCCTTCGACTGTGTATGGTAGGATGAGGTTCGCTTGAGACTCTCCTTGATAGCATAGGTTTTCAGATTTAAGTGCCAAGAAAATTAAAAAGTGGATGCCAGAAGACCGTAGACAGTTTGAAATCATACAGGAGAGGTGAAAGACTTATTTCTCTCAAACTATTTAGGTCCTCCACGTTGTCAAAGAACCTTTAATCTTTATATCTAATTGTTTGTTATTTCAAACTTTGTAGTTATATAAGAGAAAAGGAGATGGAAGAGGAAATCTTGATGCAGAGACGTGAGGAGGAAGGGAGGGGTAAAGAGAGAAGGAAAGCACTTCTGG